GCCTGAACCCGGCCCCAGCTCGTGCCGGCGATGGCAGCCTGGGGCTGGCTACACGGTCAGGTCCCCCCGTGGTGGGGGGCAGCATGGCTCCTCCACGGCCCCCGCCGGCTGCCCCGGGGCCGCCCCCCCCCCCCGCCGCCCGGGGGGGGAACCCCGCCGGCTGCCCGGGGGCCGCTCCCCGCTCCTGCGGCCGGTGGCAGCACCCAGCCCGGGGCGGGGGGCCCTTGCGCAGGAGCTGGGCGAGCTCAGCCAGGCTGAGCAGCGCCGAGATCAGCCCCACCACGAAGTAGAAGTGGATGAAGACGGTTTTCTCGGTGGGGCGGGAAACGAAGCAGTCGACGTGGTGCGGGCAGGGCCGCCGGGGGCAGACGAAGAGCGGCTGCACCCTGAAGCCGTAGAGCAGCGCCTGCCCCAGCAGAAAGCCCAGCTCAGCCGCGATGCGTACCACCACGCTGCCCACGTAGAAGGGCTGGAGGCGGCGGGCGCGCTGGCTGGGGGCCCCCCCGTGCCCTGCCTTGGCCGCCTGGTGCACGGCGAAGATGACGAAGAGCGCGGCGGGGGCCGAGAGCACGACGATGTGGAAGACGAGGAAGCGGTAGTGGGAGATGGGGAAGGCGTCGTCGTAGCAGACGGGTTTGCAGCCCGGCTGCTGCGTGTTGCAGACGAACTCCTCCTGCTCGTCCTCGAAGACGTCGCTGCCCACGGTGGCCAGGACCAGGATGCGGAAGAGGAGCATCACCACCAGCCAGAACCGCCCCACCATGGGCGAGTGCTCCTGCACCGCGTCCAGCAGTGAGCTCAGGAAGCCCCACTCGCCCATGGCCGCGCTGCGGGAGCGGGGTCAGTGCTGGGGGGACGCCGTGCCCGCGAGGATGGACCCCCAGCGGGCAGCACGGCCCCTTCAACTCACCATCCTCGACGGCAATCCCAAACCCAGCGCACCGTCCCCGCTCACAGGAGGGTGCCCGGGCAGTGCCAGCCCAGCTCACCCCTGTCACAAGTGTCCCCAAGCGTCTGCTGTGCCCTGGGACTCGCTCCCCCAGAGATGGGTCCAAGGACACCAGCTGGGGCAGGACCAGCAGGGTCCCCATCCCCTGTCTCCCCCATATTCCCCGAGTCCCCCCCAGCCCCAGCCCCATGGGGTTGACCCCGGTACCTGCGGAGGCTGCGGTCCGCGGTGTGCCAGCGTGGCTGGCACCAGCTGTCCAGGGTTGTGCGGGACTGTCCGGTCCCTTGTCCGGCTGGGATGCGATGACGGTCCCGCAGCCACCCCTGGGGTCCTTTTAAAGAGACAGAGCCGGCG